CACAATTCATCGAATTAAAGAAATTATTTGAAGTCGAAACCAAATATACTGATGGGTATGAGAATCTGAAAAAGAAACAGCACGTTTGTGCGGTATACGTAGCAGAATTAATATCAGCTCCTCTTACTCTCTATCTCTCCCAGGAAAACTAAAAAATATGCTTGCGTATGTCACCTCTCAAAGAAGCGATGAACAATTAGATTTGTGGGATTTAACGTCCCAAAACCACCATGTGATTATGAGAGACGCCGTAGTGGAGGGCTCCGGAAATTTCGACCACCTGGGGTTCTTTAACGTGCACCCAAATCTGAGTACACGGGCCTACAACATTTCCGCCTCCATCGGAAATGCAGCCGCCGCAGCCGGGATTTGAACCCGCGACCTGCGGGTCAGCAGCCGAGTACGTTAGCCACTAGACCACCGCGGTGGGGCGGCGATGAACAATTGTCCTCTTATCGACGGATATCACTTCTGCATTATTTGCCACGTGCAAGTGAAAGTGCAATAACGGCGGCACACGAAAGACAATGCTCACTTTTTATATAAGCATAATTATATGAGTAACTTCCCGCTAAGCCTTCCAAAAAGGGGAGTTACAAAGTTTTCCTTATTTTTTTTCTTCTTTCCACCATTCGTTGATCTACGCAAAGCGTTTGACACCGTATGTCATCGGATTTTTCTTTAGGTAAATTTGACATCTGCGCTACACGAGGCAGTTGACGCTTGCAGTACAAAAAATCACTTCGCCAATCAGCCCCACTTTGTGGCCATAAATGACTAACAATTGGCATAAGCTGAAATGAGGAAAGGGGTGCCACACGACTGCATACGTGGATTCGTCACCTATGCGCATTATGACATCCGCACCGGACATTCCTCCTTGGATGCGCGCATGACATCAACACAATGCTAACATGAGCTCGTCAACGTATACTAAAGCGAGGTGTGTTTTTTAACAGAACAAAAGCGGAAATAAACGCTATCACACATCGAAGACTCTGGTTATCGCCATCATGCACTCCAACCATTTTTTTTTTATCACCCACGACGGATTTGGGCATTCACCTGTCTGGACCGAGTTTTATCACCATCAGAAATTTGTCACTACAGCGCTGAATAATGAACACTGCATTGAAAAAAAAGGGGGAGGGGAGGTGTGATAAGTGAACTCTTGCTCAAAAAAAAATTCTGTTTTAGTCATGGTCGATCGCCACTGTTTGTATTTGCTTTGTTCATCGTCGACGACTTATCGCGGCTCTGTTGAACGAGCTTAGATACATTTGCAAAGGGGTGTGGCTATAGCATTTTTTCGAATGTTTCTTATCGGGTCATTTTACCTCAATTATGAGAAACAGATCGTCGTTGTGTCGATAATACCCGAATGAAAGTAGAAAGGAAGTCTTGGTGCGTATGCAGGAGAGCGTGGAATCACAAAGACTCGTGAGAACCATACACAAGAGGCGCTTGTTCTTGCTGCCTCTCGTTCTCGTCTCATGCGTATGTTCGCGTCCCTATGGCGTGAATCTTAATATATCAGTGTGAATGTTTCTTGGGGTAGAGAAATCTAAGTCGTAAAAAGAAAGTTTATGTGCGTGTGGTAGTTTTGGCTGTTTGTGTCCTCTCTGTTACATTATTTCGACTGAGGACGAAGGGACGAGCGGGCGCAGGAATATAGGTGGAATCAAAGCACCGTTCTGCCGTTATAGAACTGGAGAATCAATGGCGGTGCTGATGTAACAATAGCCGGCGGCTCAGATTGCAGAGCGGCCGCCACGCGACGTTCCCGTGCGTTTCCTGTGCTTCGACTTTGGTATCGTGTCTTCGAGAATAATGCGCACGTGGCCGTGGGGAAAGCACTCACCACTGTGGCTGAGGTTGAAATTGCACACACAGAAAAAAGTATAATATGAAGGAATGAGCAAGACGAGCGCAAACTGCCAACATGCTCATGCTTGGTAATCCAAGCACTATAGCATTTTTTTCAGGCAAGTACGTGACAACATCGTCCTGAACAACTTGAAAAATAGTTCTGAATACAAACTATCTCTCAAAGATGGCAACAAAGTGACCATCAGGTATAAATCCATCGACACCGGACTGAAAGTCACACACAAAATGGAATAACCTTGCAATGAAACCTGTTATAAGTCAGTGTTACAAGCTGCCACTCAAGCGTCGCCAGCGCGAAGTCGGCGACGGGAATGACAGGTTAGTTCGTTCCGTACGCAAGCAGAGACAGTGAAGAGATCAGAGACGTGGGAAAACAAAACAAACTTTACTCTAGTGATATTGCAGCAACACGGGATCTAATACAACACTTCAATACAACTAACAAAATACATCGACACTTGATACAACTAAAGAAATATACATATAAAAACAATAAATTAGCTTACGCGGGAGAACTATTACAAACTACTCAAACTAACACCAATAGACTACGGAGTAGAAAGTTCGAAGATATAAACAGGTGAAGGCATACGTGTGATGACCGGCAGCGTTGCGTCCCCGACGATCGGATGCGAGAAGTCGAAGAGAGTTCTGGCACGACTGCGATGTCGGCGGTGTTGCTACGCTGGTGGCTCCGGGAGGCTAGTGCTTGCAGGTGACCTCGGGCAGGTTGAGCTAACTCCAGGCGAAGTCCCGATGTCTACGTTGCAGACGTTAATATCGCGTCACAACTAGACGAACGGCTAAGTTTAGGTGGCCAGCCGATACAGAGTCACACTAAATACTTCGAGAAGAGATGCTTGTTGATCTGTTTCTACACCATGTTGGTCAGCGACTAGTCTGCCTAGCAGGGAAAAAATCCTGCGCTTAAATCCCCCTCGTGTCTCCTCGCTCTCTTCCTTGGGGACAAGAGACCTCTACATGGGTGCAATCATGCGCGTTTCATTGATGGAAACTCCGCCCCGAAAATATATTGACCCCACCCCTTTTTAATTAGGAGAGGCCCCTCAACTAGCGAGAGCGACAACCTGTTGGGGTGTTGTCATACGACTTGGCCACCAGAGGTTTTTGCACGGTTTCCCCCGTGGGAAACAGTCAGACTGTTTGGCTCTCAGCCGGTGCGTCCCGTAGTCTAATCCTTGTTCGGGGTACATCGCGGCCTTCCACGACCTTGCAGACGCAGCTGCAGTTACAAAAGGATCAAACGTCGGCGGCGACGTTCTAAGAAGAGCACCCCATTCTGCACTTCTCGGCTCCCTTTCATGCGCCCGCCGTTCCCACGGTCAGTGGGAGAGTACGGCGCCCGTTAATTGCCACGACGCGGGGTCGCCAAAAATGGCCGTCCGTGACAGTCAGTAAAACAGGCTGGAACAGTTAGCAGGAGTAGGCGATGTAACAAGAACACGCGTGACAACGATGACAGAATAGAATAAGCAGCAATCAATCAATATAAAGGTAAAGGCAACGAAAATAAAAAACATAAAAATTTGTGAAAAGGCAATGACGATTTGAATTGTCAAACTATTCAAATAGTTTTTATTCTTATTTGTTTATTATTTTTTGTTGTTGTTGTTGTTGAATAGGTCTCACCTCGTGCAGTCGAGTTTTCCAGCCTGACTACAGCGCCAGAACGCAATGCCTAGCGGAGAAAACACGCAACGGCGTCAGTCAAAATGGAACGCGCGTCTGGAATGGAATGAGCGGGCGGAATGTAGCAGGGACACACCAAAAACTTGGATACACGAGCGGCGGGCGTCTCTTTTTTGCGTGCCCCTTAACGTCAACGAACTTGGTATATGCTATTGCGAGCAATGCAGCTCCCTCTGGTCAGTGTACGCTGCCTATAGACGACTCAGAAAACCATAACGCGTTGAAGTTGCAAAAGTTACAGGTTACTTAAAACAACAAAAAAAGATGTCTTCCGGTTAGAGCAAAAATTGCGTGCTGACTCGCCTGTCATATGGCTTTAGTCGTATGGAGTGTCTAGACAATCTCCCTTTCGCTCTCCGAGAAAGAAAAGAAAGAAACGAGAAAGAGTGACTTAATTGAATGTTAAGACCAATGCAGGAGGCACCTTGGCCCAACCTTGTAACTATGAAAAGGGCAAAAATAAGGCTAAGAAAAATGTTCCTTGCAAACCGAAACTCGGAAAGACTTTTTTGTTCTGCAGTTTAATACTGCAGTTTATGCGCGTAGTGACATGCAGCGTATGCCGCTCATGTGACATTCTCGCCAAAGCTTCCTTCTTCTTTTTTGTATGGTTCCAGATCCGAGTAAACTTATTATTATTTCACTGTCATTACTGATCACAAGCGTTCATGCCGTTAGCATCATCATAATCATGATTGATTGATTGATATGTGGGGTTTAACGTCCCAAAACCACACATACAAACACATACACGAACATTCATAATGTGTAAGTATAACCCCCCCCCCCCCCCCCAAAGAAAAAAAAAAAGATTCTGGCTACGCTCCTGGAGGAGGCATATAAGAGCTTAGAGTTGATATATGAGAGGGTCTGCTTTAGGAGCGTCATCTGCCTCTCGGGAATGCGTTTCAACGGGACGAAGTCGCTCCCTTTGGCCAAAGTCTACATCCATGCTCAAATATATACAGATACAAGTCTACCAAAATAAACGAGCTCGTGCATCGGGCCTGCAGGTGCTGATGAACCTTCAAGAAGTGCCTACCGAGCGAATGACCGTAATCTGGGAGCTTTCGCTTGCGAATTGCCGATACACGAGCGCGTCTTCTAGCAGCATCATGAATTGACAGACGACGTGGACGCACTTTTGAAATTCCCGCCTGTTGGTGTGTGCTCACATTGCATGCTAAACTAAACCACGACGAGCTTCTTCATCGTTCGCTGAACACTTGTGCACATACACAAAATAAGAAAATATTTGCGTAAAACATATGCTTCTTGGTTATTTTGCATGCTGATAACAAAAAAAAAATGACCACGGAATTATCACGCAGTGTTGAAGCAATAAAGCAAACAAGCTATCGAACGAGCGGAACCTCACGAAACTGACGAATGCCCAAAACTGTAGTTAGCACCAGCGCCATTGACACCCTGGTCGTTTTCGAACGTTTGCTAGGCATCGGTTCCAAGATCGACCTCCTTTGGGAAGGGAAGGTTTTCTGCGAAAATATACGTATAATCGAGCAAAAAATGGTGAAGATTGCACTACAACTTCGCGCCAATCTAGAAAATGTCGCAAGCTTCAAGCCGAGTCCAGACTGCGTATGGTACCTTCGGCTGAAATGCTTGAACTGCGGCGAGCAGACCAGCGCTTGGCAAACTGTGGAGGCTTCCAACCGGTCGCCAATGAAAGGCAGTCGCGGAGAAGCCAATCTAGTTCTCAAGTGCAAGTTGTGCAACCGTGAGAACAGCATGGACGTTCTGAACGACAAGATACAAGCTTACAACGCTGACAACTCTTTCGAGTTCGTCACCGTCATTGTCTTTGAGTGTCGCGGCGTGGAACCGGTCGCTTTTGACGCCAGGGATGGTTTCACCGCTACAGCTGCTGAAAGTGGAACTGTTTTTGACGACGTGAAGTTCGAGAGCAAGGAGTGGGCCGAGTACGACGAAGAAGGGAAACAAGCCGTTGGGATCTACGATCTCGAGCACAATTTCATCAAGGTGAAGTAGGCCGCGCATTTGCCCGTGGTCCGGGTGAACGCTTGTCTAGTCTGGCATGGAGCAAGGGACGCCGACCGACAATGGGCCCGAAAGACGCTTTTCGAAAGTTTGAGACTGAAACTGCGTGAGTGCCTTCGTGCGGTTTCTTTTTTTTTTCCCTTCATCATCTTGCGGACACTTCGCCAGCCGAGGAGTCACAAGTACTGGATTACGCCACCCTCCCCCCCCCCCCCCCCCGCCTTTTTTTTTTCTACACACACACGAGCTGTGTCCAGTAAATTCACTTGTTTCTGCCTTTGCCTGTGGTGCCAGCACACCATGCTCCGTGTTGCATTAATTAACGTTACACGAACACCCGCTTGCTTTGATAGGATGCCACACAGTGCAGTTTAGATTGCGGTTGAGCCCCCATCGGAATCGAGATTCCTGATCGTAATTGGCTGATTTGTGTTAAAAACGGAAGGAAGCCAATCGCGTTCGAGAATCGACCTCGATGGGAAGTGCCCGTGTGCCACCTATTAAGGTTTCATATGCACATGGCCTCGATTTTCGCTTAGTCACTTTCGCTGCACAATCATTCGATAAAGCAACAGACAGTGATCGTCATAGAGTTTCCTAAAATTAACTAGATGGGACTCTGGGAATTCTAGAGGGGACTGTGGTTCAGCAACCATGGGAATTATGGGTATGACATAGATTTGCCTAGTCTTTCTCCTAGCGGGCAGCGAATCCCACTTGTGGCTTTGTTTATTGCTTTGTTTTGGTGTTGTATCAAATGAAAGAACAAACACTTTTGATCTTCGTGAGCTGATTTGAAATGGTAATCCTAAAAGGTGAAGTTGATGTGTAACTGCTCAACATTTTCTGATTGTTGTTTCGTGACAGAGCAGCTTAAAGCCACGCGGAGCCTGAAGGAACCTAAAGTACGAAGACTAGGCAAATCCATGTACTACCCATAATTCTCATGCTAGCTGAAGCATAGACACTAGCACCAGAGTTCTCTCTAGCGTATATTTAGGAAACTCTATGGTGACCGTCACTCCAATGAGACATCGCACAAATGTATCCGTGAAAGTGAAAAAAAAAAGAAGGCATCACTATGCGGCAGACAGATGTTCGCAATCACTATTTTGTGCATTCAATATATAATGTAAAACTGTGATGTGTGAAGTATGCACATTTCTAAACTGGTTGCTTGTCGAGAGATGTGTCAGGTGTCTATCACCCTTTCCAAGCAGTTTTGTACGGTACAGTTGCAGTTAAAATGACAGAGCCCCGCCGCGGTGGTCTAGTCGCTAAGGTACTCGGCTGCTGACTTGCAGGTCGCGGGATCGAACCCCGGCTGCGGCGGCTGCATTTCCGATGGAGGCGGAAATGTTGTAGGCCCGTGTGCTCAGATTTGGGTGCATGTTAAAGAACCCCAGGTGGTCGAAATTTCTGGAGCCCTCCACTACGGCGTCTCTCATAATTATATGGTGGTTTTGGGACATTAAACCCCACATATCAATCAATCAAAATGACAGGAAGTCAGCTTTGTATAGTTATTATTACTGGTGCACATAAGAGAAAATTTGGAATGGTATTATGCTATGTCTATTTAAAATTATGCAAATCTATTTCCGCATGGTGTAAACCTTGGATTGTTGAACTTATTGAAGGTCACCGCTGCAGCAAGCACAAAATCATTTTGCTTCTGACATTTCAGCATGATGGTTTATTTTGTTTGATGGGTTGCATATGAAAAACGAGAGGTTGTAGAAAAAAGTAAAAAAAATTCTGGAATGCATTCATTGAACGAGCAACTGGCTTAATTAGTTAGCCACACAGTTGGAAGACGCACTGGAATAGATTTTGTCTTTTCGTTTATATGTGCTCACTACAGTGGAATTCAATACTTCCACATTGAAGCTTAATGGGAAGTGCTCTATTTCAGTAGAATGCATGTTGAAGACCAGGTACATATTTATAGTAATCCAGTGCAATGTGCCAGATAACTTTATTGACACTTAAATCATCAGTTAGCAAGAAGTTTTGGAAAATTGCCCATAAAAACTTGTCTCAGGCTACAACACTTTCAAGAAGGACTGTATGTTTAAAGCTTGAAGGTGATTGGTTGGCGTTCACAAAAAGTAAAACATTGAAGCTAGGAAATGCATCGTACTGAAGAAAAAAGTGTAGAGTTTTCGTGTAATTAACCTAGGCTATTTTCACCAGGCTGGAGGTGTACACCGACATTGCTCTCTTCTTATTGTGGCTGCTTATATAGAGGCCTGTGAACACTGCTGTACTATATATCAACTAAGGCACCTGTTGCATGCCTCCGCAGAGTTCACCGAGTACCTCTTGTACCAGAACTGTCTTTCAGGCCACAGAAGTTATCAGGAAATAGAAGTTTTTTTTTTTTTTTAAAGCTTAGCAGCTACATGCTAAGCTTTAAGCTAAGCTACATGCTAAGCTTTTTCATAGTGCTGTTATATAGTGGCAGATATTTCAAGATATGCCCCAAATTCTAAAAAAATCTGGGAAATGCAATATTTCTTTGTTGCCTTCCCAAATACTTATTCTGTAGCCATAAACGTCATAAGGTGGCTAAAGATATCATTTGTTATGCTCAGTAAGAAAGTTAAAATTAACTTTTTAATTAGTGGAGTACGGCAGTTATGTCAAGTAGACAAATAGAAGTCCTTTATGAGAAAAATCCATTATAGCTTTGAGATTTCGAAAAAAGCGGCCTCTAGTATGAGCTGTGAACTAATGAAATTCATCAAAATTCAGTGGCGAAACCCGAACACGGAAGAGCGTAATTGCCATATTATTCTAAGGCACCCACATTGAGTGAACATTGTTATATCAACCATCAACCAACTTTGTTGTGTAGGTGTACAGGTGATGCTTGCAATTATAGCATGAATGGTGCACATATGTTAACAAACATGGATGAACTACACCTACGCAATTTTTGTCTTGTATAGTGACCATAGGTTCGTAAACTCACTCACAGGTCGTGGGTTCGATTCCCGGCTGCGGCGGCTGCATTTCCGATGGAGGCGGAAATGTTGTAGGCCCGTGTACTCAGATTTGGGTGCACGTTAAAGAACCCCAGGTGGTCAAAATTTCCGGAGCCCTCCACTACGGCGTCTCTCATAATCAAATGGTGGTTTTGGGACAAACCCCACAAATCAATCATCATCAATCGTAAACTCACTCATGAGTCGGCTCACTCGGACTCAGATCGAGCCCGGAGTTAGAGTGAGTCGGGGGTGAGTAATATTTTCGCGAGTCGGAGTCCAAGCTAGACCACTTGAACATTTTCGTGAGTGTGAGTCCGGTGGCAGGAAAATTTTCGTGAGCCTTAGTTCAAGTAAGTACAAAGCTCAAAATATATTCCTTGGCAGAGTCTGAGTGAGTCCCACTTTCTTTTGCCAACCTAAGGTTGTGTCCACTCATCCTCAGCATTACTATCAGCTTTACCTGGATTCACGTTTATACTCGCGTCTTCTCACATGTATTCCAAAGCAGCGTCATTCATACACCATTTCAATATTTATTAATTAGAGGTGAATTACTTAGGGGGTGCCTTGGCCTCCCCCTCACCAAATCTTCCAGAGAAGTTTTTGACTATTACATCTTATGCTGTCATCTCTTCGAACAATAGTGACCTTACTGGTTTGGACACACTCTGAAGTCGTTTTCGAAGATGCTATGTCAAACGGAACCAGTAAGAGCACCGATTATGGGAGGTATTGGTGTTAAAAAGCATGAACACCACGGTGGAAGAAGCTAATCTTAGGATGACGGACTCACGAGTCGACTCACTCAGACTTAGATCGAGCCACGGGTCTGAGTGAGTATTATTTTGATGAGTTTGAGTCCGATCGAGTCCAATTTAAGAACATTTTTGTCAGTGCAAGTACGGATCAGGAAAATTTTTGTGAGTCTGAGTTCGAGTGAGTTCAAAGCTCAAAATATATTTCATAATCTGAGTAAACTCTACAAGTTTTGCCAACCTGTGATAGTGATGTCTGCTTGTTGCGCTCAGCAGTGCTTCAGTTTCAGTTTGGCTCGTGCACTTTTGGTTTTGCATAGTGTGCTTGTTGTGCTCAGCAGTGCTTCAGTTTCGGTTTTGCCACTGAACTTCATCGCACCACTATAATTACTAGAGGTCACTTTTTTTAATATGTCAAAGCTGCGATGGGTTCTCACATCAAATACTTCCAATTCTCCCATTTCACATAGCCGTCTAAATACCCTAATTAAGAATGAATTTAACTTTCCTAATTGCTGCCCCAAATAATGTCTTTAACAATCTTAAGATACGTGCCACTACAGAAATAGCAGTAGTGAAGGCAGCGAGACTATCACATTTTCATCATTTTTTCAAGATTTTGGACAGAATTCATGAAAACACCTTGTATAAATTAGGGATAAATGGCAAAGCTGAGATTGGTAGGAGTGAGTATGCTTGGTTGGAGTGAGTATGCTTAACTGTGATGTCCAGCGTTACAAAAATCGGGTAGGCATACTGTCATAAATAGATGGTTGCAGAAGCCCTCTTTCCGAGATAACCATATGGTTTCGCTTATATTCATGTGTACATGTGCCGATAACAACATATTTTCTCATTCGTAAACCTTTCCGTAGATAAGTAGTTTCAGTTAAAACATACAAGTGAAATTGTGTAGACTTTTCAAGCATTTTCACTACAGTGCAAAAAAAAAAATTTTGTTAGAAAACAAACAAAACAAACATCTGCTCCTGTATCAACTTAAAAACAGGCTAAAGAGACAAAAAAACATGGCGGAAGAAAAGCAAGTGTACAGTCCATTAAATGTGCCGCCTTAAAATGCAGCGTTTAATGTAAAATTTGTATAAAAATTCTATGCATTTTTTATTTTAAAAAATTGGTGGTGAATTTTATATAAAAAAATTATTGTACATTATGATAAGTGCAATAACCTAGAGGCATTTTTTGCACTGTGATAGTGTTGAAATAATTAAAGTTGAAAACAATCGAGTTTAAGAAATTAATATAGGCCTAGCACCACTGTGATGACAGAACACCTTGAGACTGAACAAGGGGGTCTATGCAGGCTAGTTGGTACTTCGTTGCAATCATTGGGTGTAGCGCCGCGTACAAAATTGTAAGAAATAGTAGTTGACAGGAAAGAGGGACACTCACAACTAAGCTTTATTTTTGCGTTCATTGCACATATAAAGCCGAGAAACCACGTGATACGATGGCACTGGCACGCTGTCAAACAAGATAAAGACCAAATTAAACCGCCTACCACTCTAATCGTCAAGATAGTCTACTTCACAAGAAAACAAGTCAACATATAGTTTCATGATGCATCTGCTGCTCAACTTTTTGATGACATATGCCTCAAATATTTCCCGCTCCAGTTTCTTTATATAACTTCTTAGTACTTGCGTCTTCTCAAGCTCAGGTGCGCAGTGGCCTGACGCGCAATGCTTGCTGGAATGGAGAGCCAAGTTGCTTTTCGTGCCACTCTTTAGCGCATTCTTGTGTTCCCTTAGACGTTCGTTGAGGCACCGCTCCGTTTGGCCAATGTACACCAGTCGGCATGTCAGAGGGATCACATACACGATGTTCCTTCAGCAGCCAACGAAGAACATGATGTGCTTTTTGGTGCACGTCGGAGTCCTGTGTTCACGAGAGTTCACTTGGCGGCATATTGCTCCTAGCTTGTTTGGGCTGCTGAATACTACACAAACATTTACGCACCCAGCATTCTTTTTGATGCGATGCAAGACGCCGTAAAGATAAGGGATGACTGCAGTCTTTGAGCTTGACACCTGTCCGTTGTCTTTCTTTGCAGCTTCTGTGCGTTTCATGCATAGAAGCATTGTCGCCAATTCGCATAGCATGTAAGAGAGAAAGCTGGCATCATTAATCTCTCCGTTTGGTTGTATCTTGGCACCACAAGGTACAGGACAACTTTGTCAACCAAATTGAGAGATTGAGTGATGCCGGCTTCGCCCCTGTGTGCAACTCCCTGTGTGCTGCAGTCTAAATTTTTCATGAAAGATTAAAGCTAAAATAAAACCATTTTCAAGATTATATTCCGAAATCAATTGTCTAAAAGGAGCGACGTGGGGTATTCTATGACATTGTTTTATGCCTGGTGCCTTTCAAGCCTAAACCTTGCACAATATCGTGCTTTTCAGTTTTATGTTATCCAGATAAAACATTGGAAAACTAGGAGATAATCAGAAACGTAGAATTTAATTATATTTGAGCAAAACACTGGGGCAGCAACGTACTACTGGTGCGAAGAGTGTGGAAACAGTGGAGCTGTCAGCCTCTCTCTCCTCGTAACGTTCACCCTCCCTTCACACCCCCTTGCTAAACTATTTCCCTCTCTCATTCTCTCACACATAACAGTGCAATCATATGGCTTCCATAAGTGCTTGCTCTGCCAAGTTTTTTTTTTTTTTTATTGCCTCATACATTAAAAAGTTCACATACTATTGTAAACCAGGGAACAGTACCATAATACGCCATCAGCTTTCAGCTGACTGCATTTTGAAACCTTGCATATGCAACACTGATTCCACAGATTGATTGATTGATATGTCGGGTTTAACGTCCCAAAACCACCATATGATTATGAGAGACGCCGTAGTGGAGGGCTCCGGAAATTTCGACCACCTGGGGTTCTTTAACGTGCACCCAAATCTGAGCACACGGGCCTCCAACATTTCCGCCTCCATCGGAAATGCAGCCGCCACAGCCGGGATTCGAACCCGCGACCTGCGGGTCAGCAGCCGAGTACCTTAGCCACTAGACCACCGCGGCGAGGCGATGATTCCACAGTGGGAATCTGCTCCGGTACATCCGTCTGCAGCTTCTGCATTTCGAAAAACAGAGACACACATCCGCAAAAGTAATCACGAACTGGTGGTTAAGAAACTTGCCTTTGGACCGTTTGTACCCAGGTATCCCACCTCTCCTCCCCAAGTTTTTTCCCACCTCCTCAGGTTTTTTATTTTTTTTTAGGTGATACATAGTGATATCATCACTCGGTGAGGTTTTTCGTGCACACCAAATGGCCTAACCTCTGGCTAAAACAGCTCTGCTGTTGAAATTTCGTCCAGGTAACTATGATTTTAATTATTGTGAATCTCGTCCTCACCTTCCCGAATAAGATGGAGTCACACAAAAATTTCAGTTGCAGTTATCATGCTGCCGCATCATCATGGCATCATATTCTGCAGCTCGTGGAGAATGTGATCCCAAACTGTTGCATCTCCTGCCATTTCCAGTTAAAGTGGGTCTGCATTGCAACTAACTCTTGAAAGAAGTGTGCTACAACTTTGAACAGCAAACATTACAATAAACTAGTCACTGTCGTGGAAATATAAAAATTTTGAAGTAAAACTAAAGAGCTAAAACAAAAAAGTGGACACACACAAATGTGTTGTTTTAGGACACGAAACAATGTTTTTTATTACGTTACAATGAGCAAATGAGGTGGACAAATATATGGGATCAAAAAAAAAGAATGGTACATTCACTCCAAACTAGAGGTGGTGTGATGACCTGTTCTTGGCCCTCAGGGTCTTTTCAATTTCAAACTGGCGAACATCAGCCCGCTGCAAGAACGCTTGCTTCTCGAGGTACCTGCACATCAAAATGACTAGTATAACTTGGGCATGAAAGAGCATGTTGAGACACAAAGTAAAAAAAAACTTTTTGAAGACTAAAATTCATAGGCCCTGTAATAATTTCTAAGTAACCATCAAGGCTTCATTAAAGGAGTTTATTCCTTCACCAATTGACTGCTGTAGAAATTTTTACAATCCGAAAAGTATGAGAGGAGTTACTTATATTTGACGTACATTGTAAGTGCTTTCTCTGTTCTCTGATCCCGACGAGCGTTCTAGAAGCTAAACAGGGAGGGATGGCACAGTGGAAAGAAGTTAGGTAACGTGTGCGTGATCAGCTTGAGCACTTTTTTTGTTTTGCGTCGAATCTGAGCCTTACTTTCAGTGTGATCGCAACTGAGAGCACGCGCATGTCGTGCCATCTCACAATGGCTGTGGTAACAACGCAGCTAACAATGCTCAAAACAGCCAATGGTCGAGGTCTTTGGGTGTCTGGCATTATTTGTCCTCTGATGAGCTGAACAGTTTTTGGTTAACCTTTCTGTAGACTCAGTGGACTTTTTTTAAAGGTCCTTTCATACCCATTGCACTGCCAAGTGTTCAAATTAAATTTCAATCGGTACAATAAATGCAATTACTTGCTTAACAAATAACAACCACATCAGCATGACGACAACATTTACTGCTTAATATAAAATTAAGCTCGATTCACTTCAATCGCAGCTTGAAATACATCAAAATTTCTGCGATTACAACATAAGAATTCCACTCCATATGCTAGAAAGTTATTTGGGAACAAACACCACTCATAAATCGACAACTGAGAAACATTAGAAATGTAAAATTATTATAATTTTAACTCTTAATTAAACTGACCAATTATTACAGGCATAGCGGCACATCCTATTTGACTAAGGAAAGACTCCTACAAATTGAAACTTCTAGAAGTGCCATAACACTTGTTTTGAATAAAATTTTTCTTTCGCATGAAACATCTTTCAGAGACCAACCTGAGTCAAAAGCCATAGTTCAATGCATGAGTGGCACTGTGATGATGTACAGTGAGAACATTAAGTCCTCCAGTTTTGCATAGCATGCAAGATGCACTGTACTTCTCAAAAAAGCCAGGGTAACACATTCTAAGAAAGTGTCATAAAACAACTGGCATTGAAAAATCTGCATTACAGCTGTAACACACAGGTACACTGAAATTCTAGTAATTTGCTTTTTCAATTAAATCTAATTTATCGGTACTGACAGATTAGCACATTCTATATAAAATGTTCATCCGTCAAGTCCACTGAATATTTTAGGTTATTCAATTGGAACCAAAGCAAAAGAACAAGAAAAAAAGTATGGAAATGATATAGTGCATTGCCAGTACCGCAAAAAAAAAATTCTTTGTAGCCTTTATCAACAAATCAAAAGCACACACCACAGCACCAAGGTCTGCCTCTAATAACAGCTTAGAAAAATTATGAATTCTGTGCATTTAAATGCCAACACATATAACAAATAATTCAGCAGAAACACCAGTTTTCCTCTTTTTCTTCCTTTAGACAGTTATGCTACTTCTAGACCTATAACCAGCAAGACCCAAGCTTCATATTAATGGGTTACAAGAGACCTGAGCATCGCACAGCTTGTGAGAAACACCACAGTAGGAAGGGTCAAATCTAAACCTGCTAGGGTTCGTTGTGTATACTTAGCTCTAACTAGATGAGCATTTTTGTATTTCATCCTAAGCAGAATTCAGCTATGGCTGTCAGGAACTTAACCTGTCACCTAGTGATAAACAGCTCCAAATCTATGAATGAGCGACAGTATGAACAGTGCAATTACACGTACCAGTACAAAGTAACCAGGCTTGTACCACCGCAATTTTTCTATGTAAGCACTTTACTTACCCGTCTTTGCCTCTGTTGTGACTCTGGAGATCTTCCACAAGGCCCTCACTCTTCTTATAGTTGTCCCAGTCCAGTTTAGACTTCTCCTGTGCCATTGTGAATAAACCATTGTGTTAAACATTATGCTGGTGACATTACTTTGCTTCAATTTAAAATTTTTTTCAAAGAAATCAACTTGGTGTCAGTGAAAAACAAGCTGTACATATTTGTGAAAACTATTCTATAAGTTCAGCGGAGTGTGAACTTTTGCTTTTTCTACTGCAAGTACCAAGATATGAATTAGTACTTGACCTCGCAAGCTGTAGCTTGCCATGTATCATCTACAAAATACAGGCCACCACAAGGCTGATGAGCTTCGTAAAGAGTTCTAAATTTAAGATTGCAACTGAGCCATCAAGCATCTTGATGTAACGCTGATGGCAATAATTAGTATACAAGTCAGCAGAGGGCGTTGCCACAACAGGTGGTTTGTTGCACCAGCAAGACAAAACACTCATGCAAATTATACTTATGCTGGCCACTTGATGTATCAGTTAGATGCACGAGATAAAAAGTTACAATAATGCTGATGTAAATGATGCTTCTGCTGGCCAATTGATGTATTAATTACATGCACAGTGAGATAAAAGATTAAAGGGTGCATTTGACTAGTGGTATTCAGTAGTTTTCTGTGAGCTCTTATGATAAGCTTTACTATCAGCTGCTTGGAATTGAGCCCTTGGCTACTGAAAGTGAATAGAGTTCAGTCATATGGCCAATAAAGCATTTACCAATCTGTAGCACTCGCAGCAGAAGTACTGTTGAAGTATTTCCACTAACACAATCCTATCATTTTTATTATGCTCAGGTAGGCTACACCTGGTTTGGATATCAAGTGGGCTTTGGATTTTCATGATTCATGTCTAAGAGTAGTAGGAACCAGTTAACTGTACTGTAAAACCAAAATACAGCTAAATTTAAATAATGCGACCGAGGAAAACAAATTCAGCATGGTAATATGGGCTAATAATTAAAGTTTGTCAATGCTCGAAAAGTATAAAACAATTAGCAGGACCAACCAGTGTGCTGATCTTCTGCTTCTTGTTGAAGAGCTGATTCAAGACATTTCCAACACCAATAGGCTTCCTTTTTCTGAAATTGAGAAAAAAGAAAAATGCACTTGTTTACATTGTAATATACCTCATTGTTTCTTGTAGTTTTTATTAATTGCGAGTGCTGGATGGCACTTTTTTGGGCTTGACTCATCCAAATGATAAACATAAGCACCAATTGTTTTACGAGTGTTGACAGCCATATAGTGGTAACCAGAAATTCGTACGGATTTCATTGTGGCTTCGTGCTACAAACGGGCAGTTGTCTTCCTTGCCTTTCTTAAGCATTCCACCACCTTGTGGGTTTCTGCAGATCTCATTTGCAATAGAAGCCTGAATGTGCATGGATGTTTCTTACAGTCTTCTCTACTTGCATAACACTGTAACATGGAGAAATTAACTGCAATGATAGAAATGCTTGAAAATCAAAAAGGCTTTTAAAATGTTTAAGTATATTATCAGTTGCCACAATAAACTACTATGAATTCTTATGTGTTGTCACCTGAGGTTCCGCGCAGGTTTCAAGAAAGAAAAAAACTACAAAAAAAGTGCTAGGCACCTAATATTCTCAAGGGTGCTGCAAGATTCTAAATAATAATAATAATAATAATTGGGGTTTTATGTCCCAAAACCATAACATGATTTCAAGAGACAGCTTTAATAGAGGGCACCAGAAATTCTGATTATCTGGTGTTTTTTCAATATGCACTGACATCACAGAGCAACACGGTTCTCTAGCATTTTGTCCCCATCAAACTGTGATCGTCGCAGCCAGGATTGCATCCGCGACTTTCAGGTCAGCAGCCAAGCACTGCAATAGCTGTACCACCGCAGAGGATGATACATTATTTTACATGGCATTAAGGAGATATTCCAGTGTTTCAGTGTTTCCTAAACTATTCACTGGTGGGCATGTCTTCAGATCTGCGACTGCAGCATGTCATGTGTGATTGTCTCCAATGCAATGCTTGTTAGTAGATACCTCTATCGTATGTCTGGAGATTGTACTTGTTAACATTAAAAAAAAATTATATTTGTTACTTGATCTATAGTACAGCACACAACTCTGGCATTGTCAAGTCAAATTGTTAAAGCATTTGCTTGAGAGAGTATAATTTTATTACACTGTTGTTTTCCAATCAAGCATAGCGATGACATAGTTTTTATAACAGTGGACAAAGAGTTTACAAAGAGTTTGACAACTAAAAAGTCTGAACAATTAGCTCCACATACCCAGGCAACACTGGTGACTTCGCTTGTGGAGTCTCTTTCTGCTGAACAAATAAGCGTGCTTCCTTAGAATCGGCAGCAACTTCCTTGTCCACCCTAAAACGACAAAGACCACTGTCAACACTTCTTGTGAAAATGCCACCAATGCTGTTCTATTCCAAGCACTAAACTAAAACAAAATGCACAATAGTTCAGCTTGATTGCCACGTCATGAAACATGGTAACAACAGGGTCTTCAATCCAAAACAGCTAAAGGTAATAATGCAAGTCTGGCACTACGTTTTTCCTACTCCATTTATTGCCCCAGCCTTGATTATTTCTTCATAGGATTGTATCACACACTTAATTAACAAAGCGGTGCATGCTGAAGCAGTGGGTGAATGGTTCAAGTTTAAAATAACATGCATATAAAATATATGCAGCTGAAATAGTTCGGTTTTTGGTATTTCCCAAATAACACATCATCACTTTAGTAGATATTGCTTGAGATAAAGTTCAGCTAATGTAATGTGAAGTGAACACTTGCTTAAATGTAACAAACATGCCAAGGGGTCGACAGAAACCATTCACCGCTAATTACCCAGCAGCTACAATATTTCAGCTTGCAAGAATGGAAGTGACTGTTTTAGCATCAGTGCCATAGCAATATGACAGTCAAAGCGAGATGCCCATGGAAAGCACGCATACACATGCTAAGTGAGTGGAAGCCAGACTAGTAGCTACCTTGAAAACAGCTTGGTACCTGCTGCCTCTGATGGACATTTCAGTGTCCCATGCCTCTCGAAGTCCAGGTGGCAGTATCAACAGATCTTTATTTTTCTTCCCGTTATTCTCGATTGACCTTGGGCCATAACATGCCGCCAACCCACTACCTCCCCCTGCCCTGTCCTCCAACTTTTGAAGTTAGTGTGGACCAGTATAGGAACCACAGATCTGCCACTAGTGTTGTGTGCTTTCCTTAGTTTGCCGAAATTCTCTCAATAAAAGTGGAAGTAAATGGAGCAAAGAGTGATGGTAAATTTTCAACAGCAACGTAATTATTGCCCTACACACCACAAATTTTCTGGCTTAAAGAAACCAAGCTATGCTTCCTAAAAAGCGTCTTGAGTATCATGATAATAACATGTCGAGTTTAACGTCCCAAAACCACCATATGATAATGAGAGACATTGTAGTGGAAGGCTCCAGAAATATCGACCACCTGGGGTTCTGTAACATGCGCCCAAATCTAAGCTAAGCACACGGGCCTACAGCATTCTTGCCTCTATCGAAAATGCAGCCACCACAGCCAGGATTCGATCCCGCAACCTGCGGGTCAGCAGCCGAGTACCTTAGCCACGAGACCACCGCAGCAGGGCGTTAAGTATAATGATAGCAGTGCCTTTATGAAGCAATTTCATGACTTAATGCAGTAAATGTGACATGAGTAAGCGGCACATTCTTATTAGATGTGCGATTTACAATCACCCATTATTGCAAGAAATGTGAAAAAACAACTATGGCATTATATTTCAAACCTGCTGTAAGAATTATAAAAACACAGGCAATGTGTTGCAACAATAGGAACAACTAGTCAACATGTCAATCACTTTACACTCTGGCAGCGATTTAGCAAAAGATGTTGTCTACGCCATAAGTAGGCAATAGTTACACCATCTCCAGGCTTAAGGAGAGATGCTAGTTTAAGAGAGAGAAGAAAAAAAAAAAGCTTTAATCTAGACTAGGCCAGTGAAATTTTTGCTGTACACATAGGTTTTGATTCTGATTTCAAATATGTATGTAATCAGTTTTATAGCAAGTTGCATAGTTTTTGTTTTGTGTCATGACAATGAGTAAAGTATAGTTCGTTTTAAACAAGCTTTTTATACTATTAAACTTTTAGGGTTCTCAGCTATTAATGGCTCATATTTCTCTACATTAACTGTATAATGAAAATAACTAACAAGCTAGTGTGCCTAAGACATTTTAATGAACAAGAAAAATTGTAATGTGAGAAGCCTTAAATGCTCAGTTCATACTAATTGCTTACTTTAAGTTTGTGATACTTATATAAAAGATGTCAGGTTTTAAAGGAAAGAATCGCACTGTTCACATGTTAAGCAGTACGTGGGAAAATTTTATCTGGTTATCACAAATACCAACATGATGTCCAAGCACAAGGAGTTGCCCTAAATTGCATGTTTAGAAAAATGCATTTTGAACGTAGAAATGATAGCTCGTCTATCTGGCAAAGCTCTGATTTTCAGTATGATTTCTTCTATTGTGAGTGCTTGGGAATTATGGTTATCTTGAGCTTTGGTGAACTCCATGCAAAATGCAATGGCAAGCTGCTACGTGACAATTTCTAAGGGACTCTAGACAATAAGCTCTTGTTAGTTTTCAATAGCCACATTGTGTCCTTAAAAGGGATTTTAACATACATTAAGTCTAATGATGACTTTGATTTTTTTGTCATGAAAGTAAAGAAACCGAACTGGTGAAAGCGCAAGTAAAAGCAAAAAATATTTAATTTTGAAGTTTTGAAAAATTTTACGTTTTTCGAGTAGCGTCTCCCCTTAAGACTTGGCAATCACGGTGCTCAAACTTGTGCAAATGTCACAAACGACTGCAATTTTCGTATCGTCCGCGGGCCCCATCGCCCAAGGAAGGGCGCTTTTGTGTTGGGAGGAAGACATCCGGCGGCTAACGACCCAGCATTGGCGCCGCCTCGTCTTCCTTACACCTGTACCGAAAGGGGCACGTGCGGTCTAAAAAAGGAAACAACCTCCAGATGGGATGGGAGCACGCATTCGCCCCGAAAAAGTTTGGACTGCATCGGAATGGGGAGTTGACGTACAGCCAGCAAGAAGTGCGGCCGTCGATGTCGCGAGTCTCGCGTAGGCGGCGAGCATGAAGTGACCCGCACAACGTATTGAGACGGCTGCAATTCCGGGCACTATCGTCGTCTACCAAGCCGGCGAGATCTTCAGTGGCTCACGTCAACTTCTTTACGTGTACCAAGAGCTGGCCTGGTCCGTATGGAACTTTTTATTGTGACTTTTTTTTTAAGACTTAATTTATTATAACCAGCATTTTTAAAAATATTTGTAGTTATGTGCGCTGCGTCGAAGCTCAGAAGCGCGAGCCTGAGTTTTTTCTTTTTTTTCTCATAACTTTTCCCTGTCTCTCCTGTAGTTTCATCCTGTTGTTGTTTTATTGATATTCCGCGTATTTGTCTTTAGTCTGTATCTTGTGCAGCGTTTTTTTTTTCATGTTTTGTTATATAGCTGTTCCTTCCATCGTGCGTATCAGTTTTCCTCTTCTGTTATTTTTGTAATCTCCTGCTTTTGCCCCTGTTTTAATTAAATGTTTGTGTGTAATCAAATCTCTGTGTCTGCTCTATGAGTGCGTCGGTCAGGCCCACACATCACCACACGTGCAACTTCGCTCGGGTCGACCGACCTGAAAATAAATTTGAAATGTGCCACTTCGAGGCCTTTCAGGCGTCGCACGCTGAAGCATAAAGTGGTAGCCTGTGAGTCTGCCGCACGTCGATGTTGGATCGGCGGGGCCTCACCCGAAGTGCGCGACATCATCTGGCGTCCACGACAGGACTGGTCGACCGCGTGGTGATGTCTGGGAGACATGTAACTCTGAGCGCGCAGTATGTAAACGTCCCTTCATTGTTTTGTTGGTGGACACCTGTTTTTAACAATGGACGGCACGGAGTTTGATAAGCTGATTGAACAGGGCAGGGGTTTTGGTCTCGAGGGTAGAGAATTGTGCGATTTTGAGCAAAGAGCGCGGTAAGCGTAAAGAGGAGCGTGATGCGGAACGCGCGTACTTCAGACAACTCGCGGAATTTGACAAATGGAGCAAGAAAGGAAAAAGTCTCGGCTCCGAATTCAGAAGGAGAAAGAGTGCCTGGGGCTGTGTGCGACGCAGTTGGGTCTCAGCTTAGCCACTAGAACACCCAGTAGTGCGACCGTCCATGCCCCGAACAAGTTGGCACAGTCGTACTATGAGTACGTTGAAAAATTGCGCCTGAAGATTCAAAGCAGGCGGCGCGAGTTTGAGGCTTTTGATGTAATGCATAAAAGATGCAAAGAGCCCGAATGTGTCGAGCCGCCGAGGGCCGGGCAGGTTGGTGGTACTTGTGAGGAGGGCAGTAGGTTCATTCCTGAACCAAATGTGTTAGCTGTAGAAAGCGCTTTTGTGGCAAAAGAGGACAATGAAAGCTGCAGAAATGGTGACGAGGGGCTGTGCCGGCAGGGTTTTTCTGTCTGTCTGTTGTTTTTCTGTGTGTATTTGTCTTTAGTCTGTATCTTTACTAGTGTATTTTGCATATTTTGTTATATAGCTGTTCTTTCCATCGCACGTATCAGTTTTCCTCCTCCGTTATTTTTTGTAATCTCCTGCCTTTGCCCCTGTTTTAATTAAATGTTTGTGTGTAATCAAATCTCTGTGTCTGCTCTATGAGTGCGTCGGTCAGGCCCACACATCATCACACGTGCAACTCCGCATGAGTCGACCGACCTGCAAATAAATTTGAAATGTGCCACTTCGAGGCCTTTCAGGAGTCGCTGGCCGAAGCGTAAAGTGGAAGCATGTGAGTCTGCCGCACGTCGATGTTGGATCGGCGGGGCCTCACCTGAAGCGTGTGACAACAAACAACCTTGCAACTACTCGTGCCACCTTACGTCATCAGGGGAGAGTGAAATGTGGCATCAGAGCTACGGGAATATGACTTAAGGGTAAACCCAATTTCATTTGTACAGAGTATTTCTGATAATTTGACTGAGGTTATTTCTGTCTAGACTGACATTCCAGGTCGGTATGTATACATTTCTATAGCAGTAAATATGACTGACAATTTTACATGCATCTGGCCCCAATAGTGACTGCAGCGATAATTTCAACACATACCCATGTAAATGTTTGATTGATTTGTCGGGTTTAACGTCCCAAAACCACCATATGATTATGAGAAACGCCGTAGTAGAGGGCTCCGGAAATTTTGACCACCTGGGGTTCTTTAACGTGCGCCCAAATCTGAGCACAGGGGCCTACAACATTTCCGCCTCCATCGGAAATGCAGCCGCCGCAGCCGGGATTCG